AAAAGTGGGCGAAGGAAATGAACAGACACTTTTCAAAAGAAGGCATTTATGTAGCCAAAAACATATGAAAAAAACTCATCATTACAGAAATGGTCATTACAGAAATGCAAATCAAAACCACAACGAGATACCATCTCAGGCCAGTTAGAATGGCGATCATTAAAAAGTTAGGAAACAACAGATGCCAGAGAGGATGTGGAGAAATAGGAACACTTTTACACTGTCAGTGGGAGTGTAAATTAGTCCAGCCATTGTGGAAGACAGTGTGGTGATTCCTCAAGGATTTAGAACTAGAAATACCATTTGACCCAGAAATCACATTACTGGGTATATATCCAAAGGATTATAAATCATTCTGCTATAAAGACACATGCACACATATGTTTACTGCAGCACTATTCACAACAGCAAAGACTTGGAACCAACCCAATTGCCCATTAATGATAGACTGGATACAGAAAATGTTGCACATATACACCATGGAATACTATGCAGTCATAAAAAAGAATGAGTTCATGTTCTTTGCGGGGACAAGGACGAAGCTGGAAACCATCACTCTCAGCAAACTAACACAGAAACAGAAAACCAAACACCACATGTTCTCACTCAGAAGTGGGAGTTGATCAATGACAACATATGGGCAGATGGAGGGAAATATCACACACTGGGGCCTGTCAGGGGGTGGGGGCCAAGGGGAGGGATAGCATTAGAAGAAATACCTAATGTAGATGACAGGTTGATGGGCAGCAAACCACCATGGCACATGTATACCTATGTAACAAGCCTGCACCTTCTACACATGTATAACTTAAGTATCACAAAATAAAAGAAATGTCTTCGTTAATAATATTTCTCACCTTTTCCAGATATAAATTTAATTCACAGTTGGGCGGGGCATGGTGCCTCACACCTATAATCCATGCACTTTGGGGGGCCAAGGCGGGCAGATCACTTGAGGTCAGAAGTTCAAGACCAGCCTCGGCAACATGGTGAAACCCCGTCTTTACTAAAAATACAAAAATTACTACTCGGGAGGCTGAGGTAGGAGAGTCGCTTGAACCTGGGAGGCAGAGGTTTCAGTGAGCCAAGATTGCGCCACCACACTCCAGCCTGGGCAGTAGAGCGATGCTCCATCTTAAAAAAGATAAAAATCAAAATAAAATACAAAAATAAAATTTAATTCACAGTTGTAACCAGCCTAAATTAAAAATATTTCTTAAGAAAAAGATTGAGACTTTATGTTTTAGATAATTGTGTTTTTATGACAGAACACCTACACACACACACACACACACACACACACACACACACAAACTAAACTTTTTCTGTTATATACCAAATCATACTTTTATTAGTGTGGTTAATTTTATTTTATCTTTCTCTCTGTGCTTCTCTCACTCATCAATTGATCTATTATCTGTCTCTTAGTAAATCCATCCATTCATCCTTCCATTCAACCTTCTATTACTTTTAATATTTTTAAATAAACTGCCTTATTGCTCTGATTTGTATTAATGTACACTGGCAGAACATGAAATGACAGAAAGACTTTTATTTGTATGGAATCTCCTGAAATCAGCTAATAATTCACTATGGACTCTATTTACTCAGATTAATAACTGTGCAGAAATGTCATTATCTGAAGAACACAAATCTGGGGACAGACAGAATTTTAATCATGGGCTCTGTCATTGACTGACTGTGTGACTTTGGTTGCTTAAATAATCCAGACTCTAGTCTTCTCAATTATAAAACAGGAATAATAATGGACTTAACTTTATTATATGTTAAGCAACATACATTGCTTTGGGTATTCGGAGACGATAATTAATTGCCATGGATTAGGAATCTGAAATAGAGGCTTGAATTCCCAGGAGTGAAACAAATTTAGCAATACTTGCATGACTATTGGAGAACCAGGCCACTTAGCAGGTATACATATGCCCCTCTGACTACCTCCTAGATATTTTCTGCCATGTCAGCAGTAGGCAGAGGACCAGTTGGCTTAGTGTTTATATTGTTTACATGTGGCAGCTCGAACAATGTGATATGAATATGAACTAAGGAGGGAGACACTTCACATTTAACATCTGTTCTTCAGTTTCCCCAACAAGATGCCTCCAAATGTGAAAGGAAACTAACTCATCCATAGCAAGCTGAGAAATGAGTCTAAACAACTGATATTTTGGAACAACATATTTGACACTTGTGAGGTCCACCAGTTGTGGCTTAATCAAGAAAGCCATTAGATATTCACAGTATCCATCTTTTAGGCATACACATCTAAAACACACATCCATTTGTCTTATTTTAAATCCATATTTTAATTTTCAAAATATTATTTCATGGATATTTTGCCACACAATTATGCTGGCTTTTATTATTTTCTCCCCTTGTGTGTAAAAGAACAAGAGAATACAAATTCCTTGGCATGTCAGTTATTTAGTCACTTCACATTTTGATATTTTCAGAAGTCATAAGAGGATTCTTCTCTCACAGATGTGATTATAAAACACATTTGATTTACCAACTTTTAGTCTTCTGTTTTCTACAAATTAACTCTCTTGTGCAAATGGAGAAATAGCATATGTATTTGGTACTAAGCTTCCCTCGTAATTGTCAGAACCTCAGCAGGTCTGATTTTATTGTTCCGTAGGAACTGGGCTTTTTTAAAAAATCAGACCATATGATGATTTTGATATTAACACTCTTCTGAAAGACTAAGTGAATGAACTAGTCATCTATACTCACTGATTAAAAACAAAGTAAGACAAACGTATTCCATAGTATAGTACTTTGGGTTTGTCTAATTTTTTTTTTTTTTTTTTTTTTTGAGAGGGAGTCTCGCGCTGTCGCCCAGACTGGAGTGCAGTGGCCGGATCTCAGCTCACTGCAAGCTCCGCCTCCCGGGTTTGCGCCATTCTCCCGCCTCAGCCTCCCGAGTAGCTGGGACTACAGGCGCCGCCACCTCGCCCGGCTAGTTTTTTGTATGTTTTTTTAGTAGACACGGGGTTTCACTGTGTTAGCCAGGATGGTCTCGATCTCCTGACCTCGTGATCCGCCCGTCTCGGCCTCCCAAAGTGCTGGGATTACAGGCTTGAGCCACCGCGCCCGGCTGGGTTTGTCTAATTTTTTAAAAAAATCATTTACAAATGCCATTTCTGAGGGACAATAGCATTTCTCTAGGATACATCTATGTACATGCAACTGAAAAAAACGGCTTTTGTATTTACTTTATCTCTTGCAGGAGTTGCATAGCTACATAAGAATATTGTAATGCAAGAGGCACATCATAAAAACTGATTTGTTATATGTTATGTGCATGTGTATTTGTGTATTTACAAATTGATAGCATACTCACTGTTGTTCAGTAGCATATCTTGTGATGAATGATGAAACCAGTACAAATTAGATGTGAATTTGACTTATGAACTCTTCACATCCACTACCTCATAAACATTACAAGCTAGAGAATGTAGGGACTTGAATCCACAAACCACATATGTCAAGATTAATACATTATGTTTTGATTACTTGAAACTGCCTGTACAATTGAATTTACAGTTGTTTTTTAAAAAAGAAAATGGAACTGAGAAGAAGTGCTACAGCAATCACACTTTGTGATTTAAAAGAAAATAAATACAACTAGTTCAAGCTCAGAAAAACAAAAACAAAAACAAAACAAAAAACTATGGGAACTTTATTGCCCTTATCTATACTCTCCCACCTGCAAGAAAAAATGCCTCTCCTCACAATGAATAACACTAGGTAGAGGAAATATCTCTGCTTAGTTTTAGAAGGAAGAGAAAAAAAAAAAATTGTGAAACATTCATATGTAAATAAGAATCTGAAGGAAAAGGCAATGTGGAGAATAGGGCCTGATTTCACCGCTGGGAGGGAGATGCAGCCTGGCAGGCTCACAGTGACTGTTTCATAGTCAGAGCCATCTACCCAAAGGTAGAAACCAAAGCAAGTGTAAATCAGAAAAATGATCCTCAGTACATTATATTTAATGTCAAAACATACTTTGTAGAATTTGTGAACTGCAATCTTATTTTGAGAGCTAATCTAGAATTATGATTATATTTGGAAGCTTGATTCTGTTTGCCTCATTTGGTCCATTTGGTTGTATATTAAGGCTTGAACATAAGGTTTGTGATATAAAAGTGTCTTTAAATAGGTTCCATGACATTTAAAGTTATCTGCTGGGAAATAATCAACTTTTTCAAATTCATAATAGCTTTACTTTGGGGAAATTGGTTTTGATATGATGAGCAAATGGATCACTAAAGATCACTGAGGTGGGAAGTAGTGATGGGAAGCAGTCATAGAAACCACTAACATATGTCATGGGTAATAATATCAGGTATTTTGATGCTAGTGTCAATGAGATCCAGCATGCCAGTTAATTTCAAACAAAATAAACAACAACAAACACTTTGATTGTGTTATACAACTTGCATTCATTATTTTTTATTAGCTGTAATCTACCTGTCTGTTTATCCATTGATTGATTCATCAGTGTGTGTATATGTGTGTGTACATTTCAGAATGGAACGAGTGATGCAAATCATATTCTTTCATGCATAGGTATTTGTAGAGGGCCTGCTGTGTGCCAGATATTAAGCAATTGCACTTGAGTAAAATAGTGTTTAAAAACTACTCACTGCCTTCAAGGAGCACAGTGTCTAACTAGGGAACTCAGACAAGTAAATAGGCAATTATAGTGTAGGATAGTTCTGGGGATCAGAAAATGAAAGTTTCAGCAGCAGACTCAGAAACAAACATTTTTCTCTGACCTTCTCCCATCCTCTTGTCTCTCAGTTCTATTCTCCCATAAGGCTAGCCATGGAAACTAGAATCTCTCTTCCACAACAGTGGGTCATAGTAAACAGAACCCCTTTTCTTCAAAGCCAGCCATAAAACCAAAATATATTAATCTAATTTTTCCTCCACCTTATCTGTGTAAAAACTGGCCATAAAGAAATTATCTGACTTACCTTGGTTGACTGAACATCTTAAGACCCCCATTCCAAAGATTGTGCTACCCTGTAACCAGAAGAAGAAAACAACACATGCTTAGAAATGTCAAGAAAAATCTAGACTGACAAGCCTTGCGGGGTTTCCCCACCCAGTCTATTAGCACCATTAGATGATATACCTTTCTTCCAATAGTATCTCTACACAGCTGTCCATACTTTGTTAATTTCCCCTGTATGTTAGGGTCTGCCTTTGGAAGGTTGCCATGTATATTCATTAAATGAATTTCCAAGTCTTTTTTCCTCCTAATATGCCTTTTGCAACTAGATTTTTTAGTAAAACCGCAGTGGGACAAGGGCCTTGGTGTCCACAATAGCAAGTCTTATAATACAAGGTTAAGTACAGAATGAACCCACAATGAGGAACATAAGATTTGAGGAGCTTAATGTAAATCATGGAATTTGCCAATTGTTTCCCAATGAAAACAATAGCATACAGCACATATTTTACTGAAGCAGAGATAATACCTTCTTACACATTAATTTTATCACTGATAAAATGATTAATTTTATCATTAATTTTAAAGTGAAACACAATGGTCATTACTTGCCCAAGCTTAAGAGGCTATTTATTAGGCAGGGCGTGGTAGCTCACACCTGTAATCCCAGCACTTTGGGAGGCCGAAGTGGGCAGATCATGAGGTCAGGAGATCGAAACCTTTCTGGCCAACATGGTGAAACCCCATCTCCACTAAAATACAAAAAAAAAAAAAAAAAAAAAAAAAATTAGCTGGGCATGGCATGCACCTGTAGTCCCAGCTACTCAGGAGGCTGAGGCAGGAGAATTGCTTGAACCTGGGAGGCGGAGTTGCAGTGAGAGGAGATCGTGACACTGTACTCCAGCCTGGCAACAGAGTGAGACTTTATCTCAAAAAAAAAAAAAAAAGAAGCAGCTAATTATTATCAGAGTTGTGAGTAGAATCCAGGACTTCAAATATGAATCTAGTGCTTTTTGCATAAGTTATGCTGCTTCAATTTACATTTGTTTCTTAAAATAGTAGAAATAAGTGGAAATGAAACATTTACAAAGTGATATCTTCTTGCTTGTTTTTCTTTTATTTTTTTCTCCAGTTTGCAATGAAATCAGTATAACAAGTAAAAATGCAAATAGATAACTAATCAAATTAATGGCTTACACCTGAAGAATAACATTATATAAATGCTACTACTGATCTTAGAAGTCCCATCCATTTCAATGACAGCTATGTTTGGGAATTCCACAACTCAGTCTGCTCTTAGTATGGATGAAGGAAATTGTTTCTGTATCTGGCCAAACTAATATGGAGTTTGGGATACATTCTGTTAAATTATGTACTTTGATATGATGTAATATAATCCAAAATAATACATTTATGTTACATATAATGTTTCATTAGAGATTTAATGAACAAACACTCTGATCCCCCTCTGTGATACTATTTTTAGAAGAGGCTCGTTATTATGATTAAATATAACTTAATATAGGTGTAGGCTTCCTAGGTTAATAAAGACCAGAAAAATGAATTGGTCATTCTAGAACTTTGTTCTCAGCTGGAGGAGAAGCGATAACATCGATAACATTGTAGGCTCACTCTTGGCTCTAATTGACACTCAGAATAATAGGATTGAATACTAAAGCTCATCTCAACCAAACTGGATTGGCAATAATGCCTTTACATCCACAACTGATTTACAGGTTAACTGTAAGACCAGTACCTTTGTTAGGGAGGCAGATCAATTTTATCCAAAATATATGTTTAAACTTATTAGCATTTTGGCTCTGAAATCAGTGAAGCCTGTGAATCTCTTCCAACATTCACTAGCTTGCTGAGACTGAACATTTCTGAGATGCTCTGAGTTCTGGTTATTTTTTTGTTGCAGGAAGTCAGGGACCCTGAATGGAGGGACCGGCTGAAGCCGGGGCAGAAGAACATAAATTGTGAAGATTTCATGGACATTTATCCCTTCCCCAATCAATACTCTTGTGATTTCCTATGCCTGTCTTTACTTTAATCTCTTAATCCCGTCATCTGAGGATGAATGTCGCCTCAGGACCCTGTGATCATTGTGTTAACTGCACAAGTTGTTTGTAGAGCATGTGTATTGTTTGTAGAACAGTATGAAATCTGGGCACCTTAAGAACAGGTTAACAGCGATTTTCAGGGAACAAGGGAGATAACTTTAAAGTCTGACTGTCTGTAGGCCAGGCAGGACACAGCCATATTTCTCTTATTACTGAAAATGGGTAAGATAAATATCGCCGAATTCTTTCCCCAATAAGGAATATTAATAATTAACAGCCCTGGGAAAAGAATGCATTCCCAGAGGAGGCCTCTGAATGGCCACTCTGGGAGTATCTGCCTTTATGCAGATGTAGATAGGGATGAAACACGCCTTAGTCTCCTGCAGCGGCCCCAGGCTTGCTAGGATTAGGAAATTCCAGCCTGGCAAATTATAGACTGGTTCTCTGCTCTTGAACCTTGTTTATCAATGACAATGTGTGCACAGCTAGACATGGAAGTTCATTAGTGATTCTAATTTTGCCCTGACCTTGTGATCTCGCCCTGACCTCCTGCCTTGTGATCTTTTGTTGCCCTTAAAGCATGTGATTTCCGTGACCCACACCCTATTCGTGCACTCCCTCCCCTTTGAAAGTTGCTAATAAAAACTTGCTGGTTTTACGGCTCAGGGAGCATCACAGAACCTGCCAACATGTGATATCTGCCCTGGACACCCAGCTTTAAAATTTCTCTCCTTTGTACTCTTTCCCTTTACTTCTCAGAGCAGCCAACACTTAGGGAAATAGAAAAGAACCCATGTTGAATATCAGAGATGGGGTTCTTTAACTCTAAAATAGATGGAAAAGTTCAGGAAAGAGATCAAGAATTTTTGGTATATACAAAGTACTAAGTAATAAATGTAGACTCATTAAATGTGAAGGTAGAATATAAAAACAAAGTGGCTATAAAGGAAGTTATCTCTTTGAAATTTGTGAAATCTGGACTTTACCAGTCTAGAGCAGAGGTCAGAAAATGTTTTTTTTCAATTGGCCAGATAATAAGTGTTTAGTTTTCTGTAGGGTACATAATCTGGGTTCAACTCAACTCATTGTAGCAAAACAGCAGCCATTAGTATATGTAAATAAATTTAAATGGTTGTATTCTCACACACCCAAACAAAAAGTTTACTGAAACAGATAGGAGGGAGTGACATAAGCAAGATGTTGCATTTGGCAACTCCAAGCTTCTGTCCCTCCACAGAAATATTGAAAAATGAGCAGAAGTCATCAGAATCAACATTATCAAAACACTGGAAAACAGACAGGTTTATGGCAACACAGTGAACACTAAAGCATTAAAAAGTCAACGTAAAAATAATAAAAAATCATTTTTTTATTTTTAAAAAAAGCAGTTTTACTTTCCCTTTCTATAACCACTCCCCAGTTGAAGAGCAGTCTTGCAGACAGCAGCCCACATTCCCAGTGTGAGAGAATAGTCCCTGTTTCCAGAGGTAGAAGAGACAACTTTATTTGCAGATTATTTTGGCTCATTTTAACTTACATGGGGGCTACCTGAAGGGATAATGTAAGGTACTTTCATCTGCTTTGTCTATTGCACAGCATATCCAAGTGGTAAACATGGTGGGAATTGTTTAAATATATTGTTGGACTCCTAAGAAACCCAAGCTTGAGGCAAAAGACATTTAAGATATATAAACAAACATCCAAGGCCTGGAAACACAGTAAGAACAGAGATTTTCCTTGGAAAATTAGGGTAATAAAAAATACCCATGAGTTAGGAGAGATTTGAAAAGCCTCATACACGCCAATTATACAGTGCATGTTCAAAAAGACCTAAGAAGTCCTTAAGTTTTATAGTGTTTTGGAGCTTTGTTTTGTCTGATACTGATCCCTAAACTTTTATTTTTTCAACCTTTATTTTAAGTTCTGGGGTACATGTGCAGATGTGCAGGTTTGTTACATAGGTAAATGTGTGCTGTGGTAGTTTGCTGCACAGATCAACTCATCATCTAGTTATTAAGCCCAGCATCCGTTAGCTATTCTTCCTGATGCTTTCATTCCTGCCAACCCCTACCACCCTTAACAGGCCTCAGTGTATGTTATTTCCCCCCATGTGTTCATGTGTTCTCACGGTTCAGCTCCCACTTATAAGTGAGATCACACAGTGTTTAGTTTTCTGTTCCTGCATTAGTTTGCTGAGAATAATGGCTTCCAACTCCATCCATGTCTCTGCAAATGACATAATCCTGTTCCTTTTTACAGCTACATAATATTCTATGGTATATATGTACCACATAATCTTTATTTAGTCTACAGATCCCTAACCTTAATGCAAGTCTGGCTAAGTGTTTAAAGAGGTAATCAGGACGGAGCCAAACAGTAAAGAAAGAGGTTGCTTGGTTGTTGTTGTTTTTTTTTTTTTTGGTTTCTGGTGTTCAAGAAAATTCTGTCAAACACTAGCTGAACAAAAGCTAAAGAACAAAAACTTTATTCAAAATATATGCAACAAACATATTTGCTGAAAAACAGTAGAGAAAAGTCATTATACCAAGAGTTTACTATAGCCTTCAATAATTACAAATGAGCAAATCCTGGGAAGCAGGAACATTGATTTCCAGAATCACACTGTAATATTCAAGTGTCCATTTTTTAACAAAAAAATCACAAGGCATACAAAGAAATGGGAAATACAACATATTTAATAGAACAAAATAAATTAACAACTACCATCCCTAAAAATATCTTTAAAATTGTAATTACCAGCAAAAAGATTATTTTTAAAAATTGTCTTAAACATGCTCAAATAATTGAAGGAAAACTTGAACAACCAAATAAGAAAAATCAGAAAAATAATAAGTGAACAAAATAAAAATATCAATAAAGAAAAACTATAAAAGGAGTCAAAAATTCTGGAGCTTTGAAGTATAAAAACTGAAATAAAAAAATTAAATAGAGAAATTCAACAAATTTTACCAGTCAAAAGGCAAAATCAGGAAATTCACAATAGGGCG